CCCCAAAACCCCAAAACCCCAAAACCCCGCTATATCATTTATTTATTTACAATGAATAAATATTTTGTAAATTTTAACTATTAATCTAAGTAATTAAATTATGAAAATTCTTAATCAAGACTGGATAGGAAAATCAAGAAATTTACAAGCTGCCTCTAAAACATGCAATATTTTCTCTACTTATTCCCATGATCTTTCTTCCTCTCTTTAACTATAATATGCTTGCTTGAGTCCCTCTATTCTTTTTTTGAGATCTCTTAGAATGCTAAAATGTTAACTAAATAGAGCACTAGTTGTACTAAAAGATGGAATAATTATTTTTTTATTTCCTATACTAGTCTCCTCTTATGTAAATGTTCCTTTCTTTTGACCGTTGGTCTAACTATCTCCAGCTAAATCTTTGCCTAATTAGCCTATATTGAGCTTGACTCCGCCTGCTAAAATACTATCACCTCCATTTGGATCTAACCCTGCTGTTTATATTCTTCCAAGCAGTTTTAAATTTTATATTCCAGTCACTATATTTTTCTACCCTGATAGATTTGAAGATGCTGGCTCATTTTATCTTAAATTTGATGTACTAATTCTGGAAGTTTCAATTTTAATGTTTCCTTTAATTTGCTTAGTTGTATGAACTTTGCTTTACTATTGTACACTTGATTTAATTAGTTCTTTTTTTATTAGTTCATCGAAGTCTTCATCGTTTCCAAATAGTGATATTCTTTTTGTAACTGTTGGGCAAGGGTTATCAATTCCAAATCTATTACATCCTGCAATAAATTCCTAAGTACTTATTTCAAATCCATTCTCTCCGCAAACTAATGCATATAAGAATGCTCTTCTTACGGAAATTATCCCTGGATACTTTACATAAACACTTGGTGATTAAGATGGAGTGCAAGTAGCAACTATTTTATCTATTTCTTCGCTATTAAATAATCCTTCTTATTCTTAATATCTTCTCATGAATTCCTTTGAAAGATTTTTTTAGTTTTGCTTTCTCTTTGTTTTATATTCTTCGCAATACATATTTAAAAGTACATCAGTATCAATATAATCTGTTTCAAAATCATCCAATGGATTTGTCTTGATCTTTTTGACATTTCTCCTGACTTTATGAAACCATTTCCTTGAATCTTAGTCATTAAACCAATTCATTAAAGTTGTGGTGATAATTTCTTCATGAGTAACTCTAACATAAGTTATTCCATCTTTTGATTCTATGAAATGGTCTTTGTCTTGTTATAACATAGAGTAAGCATATAAGAAAAACTCTTAGAAGTAAATATCAATATTTGGCATGGATAGCTCTATCAAAGCATAACTTTATTATTGAGTTTTTCTAGATGCTGACTGATTTTAACTCTTTGATGGTTTTACAATGTTCATTAATTAAGCAAAGCTTTTTGCTCTTGGCCAGATATCTACATAATATTTTAGTGAGGTAAGAGTCTCAATAATTTTAAGCTCTGCAAGTCTTCTTAATTTGAATCTATCTAGAAAGTATATTAAAACATATTCCTCAAAACAAAGATAAGTTGTATTAATTACTCCGTTGACTTCGCTTGCATTCTATATTCTGTGATCATAAATATCATAAATAACAAGTTTGAATTCAGGCCATGGTAAAACTCTTCCTGTTTGGTTGTCTTCTATAGAATTAGCAATGAATACTAAAATATGGCTAGGAATAGTCCACACACTTGTTGACTCGCCTTATTTATCTCCTAATTAGTCAGGATTTTTAGATTGAACAACCATTTAGTTTAATCTATTCTCTAATTCAGCTATTCTATCTTCCTCTTTCATTTACAAAATTTTTTATGCACTACCGTAATCATCCATAGGTGTAGAATATGTAAGATTTTGTGCTAATTTATGCTCTTTTTATTCATCAATTGGCTCAAGGTCTATCTAACTGTTTGGTGAAATAAACTATCCTTTTGAAGATAGTTGTTGGTAATTTTAGCTAGGCTTCTGAGATTATTCCTGAGATGTTAGTCTTCTTGAAGAATCAAGATCTATAGTTTTAATTTAGAATAAAAGTTACTTTGTTTTTTTAGTGTGTTTATTGATTTATTTAGACTATGGTTACTCATGTTTTCTCCAATATAATTCTAAGGTTTCCAAAACAATTCTCCATCCTCTACTTAAGTTGAAACCGACACCTTTGTAGCTAAAATTTAATTTATAATGTGAAGTATTACTTTTCATCATAGTCCTTAGAAGTCTATCCATTCCAGCCAATATGTTTTTCTTCTCATTTTATTCATTTTCTAGATTTTTTAGGACCTCCTAAAAATTATTAATCTTATGTATTTTTACATTCAAATCCTCAATATTATTCGTGAATTCTTCTTTTGCCTATGTTTTATCTGCTTAAATCTTTCCACTAGTGATAGATGATTCTCTTCTATTTAATACTTTAATTTTTTCATCTCTAGCATTAAGGACATTAGGCTCCACATCAAGATTTTATACTAAATTATTAGTCATTTTTTTCCCACTGTCCAATTCAAGCAATTCTCTTAAATATTTATTTTCTTTCTCTAAAGACTCCTGCTCCTACATTAAACTAGCTATTTATGCATCTTTTCCTTGTATTAAAGCCTAAACTGATTCTAGCTTTTTCTCAAACTCCATTCTTCTTTAAAATAATTCTTCCGTAGATTATTATTAAGCTGCCAATTTAACTGAAAGCTCTTTTTCTTTAAGATTTTCAGATCTATAAAATTCTTCGAATTGTTAAAGAATTATAGAATTGTAACTCTCAACTAATTTTTAAAGTAGGATTCCTAGTTCAACTCGATAACAGCTCACTTAATCGATAATTTGCAAGAAGGTTTAATTAAGTACATTTGCCTCCGTAAATATTTAAAAGAACCCTTAATTACTTAGATAATGATGCTTTAACTTTGGATTTAAACAAGATTGGATATTAAATAAATTCTTTACATCAAGGCCATAATCCTTTCTCTTTTTTATTTTGTTATAAACTTTATTGATAAGTTCTTTATGCCTTTCGAAATCCATATTTTTCTATTACTTTCCAATATTAAGATTTCTCTTGATAAAATCTACTATATTTGTTTGATTTTCATCCTCTACTTAAGATTTTCTAGAAGAGTCATATAAAAAAACTCCTCCAGGTGAACCTCCTTTGACTTTATACAGTTAATTATGTTACATCTCATTTATAACTATAGATCTTGCTCTTTTTTCATGCCTGTTAAACATTGAGGCTGTAGGGGATTTAAAGTTATTTACTGTGGCTTCAAGTTAAAATTGATTATGCGGATATCCTATCCCAAAGGTTCTATTAGTTGAAGCGGCAGATCTTTGTATCATGCCAACAGAGATATTATCCTCCAAAAATTGCTTTTAAGTTGAATTTAGAAGACTTTTTTCAGTTGTTTGAAACATCTTTTTATTTCTTATAATGCCAAATTTTATTTTATATCACCTTTAAGGGGTTTTGGGGTTTTGGGG